GGGGAAGCGACGACAGCCCCATTTCCAGATGGGGGGGGGCGCGCCCGGGGCGCGGGGATTCGGGCCGACGCCTGTCCCCGCGCGCCCCGCAGCTACGGGGACCCCAAGCAGTGGGCGGCCTTCCTGGGCACGCCGTTCCTGAGTGGCGCCGAGGGGCAGCTGGAGCGGGTGGCGCGCATCTACAAACACCCCTTCTACAACCTCTACACGCTCGACTACGACGTGGCGCTGCTCGAGCTGGCGGGGCCCGTGCGCCGCGGCCGCCTGGTGCGGCCCATCTGCCTGCCCGAGCCCACGCCGCGGCCCCCCGACGGCGCGCGCTGCGTCATCACCGGCTGGGGCTCGGTGCGCGAGGGAGGTAGGCTCGGCCGCCCCCCCTCCCCCCGCCGCGGCGAGAGGGCCCTCGGCCCACGGCTCCCGTTTCTCCCGCAGGCTCGATGGCGCGGCAGCTGCAGAAGGCGGCCGTGCGCCTCCTCAGCGAGCAGACGTGCCGCCGCTTCTACCCGGTGCAGATCAGCAGTCGCATGCTGTGCGCCGGCTTCCCGCAGGGCGGCGTGGACAGCTGTTCGGTGAGCGCACTCTGCAGCGGAAGCGGGCGCTTCTCGGGACCCAGGTCCCACACGCAGAGGGCAAGGGGGGCGTGGCGGGGCGAAGTCGTCACCGCGGCAAGACCCTCCGGCGCCGCCCTCTCAAGCCCACCAAGCAGGGCACCTTTTCTGACCCTGGAGGAATTTTCACTCGACCACCGTTTATTGGGCATCCATTATGAGCCGGTTTCGGCGCCTCGGCATCCCCCGCCCCCCTCCCCGGCCCGGCACCGGCGGGATGGGGACCGGCGGGATGGGGACGTGGGCTGGGCAGTGACTGCCGCGTGAGGCCCCCATTCAGCCCGGGGGAAATACAGAGTGTCCATGAATGTCTGCATGAACGGGTCATCCTAACCTAGAACCCCTTTCCCAGAAAATAAGCTCACGAGGAAAAGGACCCGGGCCCAAGGGCTACTATGGGGGAGGTAGTGGCCTGCTCTTAAGGCCTTTCCTCTCCTTCCCTCAGGGCGACGCCGGGGGACCCCTGGCCTGCAGGGAGCCCTCTGGCCGGTGGGTGCTAACTGGGGTCACCAGCTGGGGGTACGGCTGTGGGCGGCCCCACTTCCCAGGGGTCTATACTCGGGTGGCTGCCGTCAGAGGCTGGATCGGGCAGAACATCCAGGAGTGACCGCCAGCACGTGGCTGCACACGCCCGGGACGAGAGGTGACGGCGCCAGGAACCGGCTGGCCCCTCTGCCCGAGGAGGAGAGTCTAGGTGGTGGGCGGGCGGGGGGCTAGGGGGCTGCGGGTAACCGGGTGCACGTTTGCTGCTTATTTGGATCCAATAAACAGCCCCTTGTCCCTAGCCTGCTGGCTCAGCACCTCCGTATCACAGCAGGGACCGTTCGGCTGCTGCTCACCCGGGGCCCAGATATGGGAGGTGCGGGGAAGGGGCAGCAAGGCCTCCCCGGGGCAGGACTACCCTCCGTCTTTGGCGCCGGAGCGGGGGG